ATGATCGTTAGGAGTGAGCGAGAATGGGAACACCTGGAGGGACGGAGTTAAGGGCAATTACTCAGCCCAGCCCTGGCGTTTCTTAATTTGGGAGAGCTACCCTGCATAATTTCATCACAGATTTTTATACAGTTAATTGGCAAGCAGCTTGATATGCAAATAAAAACATCATAAATATCAGAGAAAGATTTAAAGCTGTGCTCTCCACTGCCATGCTACAATCCTTGCTTTTCTGGTCAGTCTAATCTGCTCGATTACTCCTTTCATCTTCCTGCGTTTTGAAGACGTGATATCTCTTTCAAAGAACATCTGTCAGACATATTAATTAGCTATTTTTTTTTCTACATGGAATGAAAAAGCAAGGGTGGGGAACCCGCAGCCCTGGGGATCAGATGTGGTGCCTGGCCAGGTAATTATTTTGGGGGTAGCACGGAGATGTGAGATGTGTGGCCTGCCCTGGGTCTGGAGATGCCTCCCTGGCTCTTGGCAAGGAACAGGTTTGCTGCCAGAGATACGCAGCTCATGTGAAGCACCGAAGGGAGATTTTCCTAATGTGGGTAATGGAGCATCCGCAGCAGACACTGCCGAGATGTCACTTCTAGACCCTGACCTTCCCAGATCAAAGATGCTACAGGCAGCGATGCTGAAGGATGTTTTTAATTCAGAAGATTAAGCTTAAGTAGCTTAAGAATGGGAGAAAGTGTGGATGGAGTCAATATTTTTAACGTTCAAGGACGATTTGAGAGCGTAGACTTGTTTGCTGGTAACATCAAAGATCCCAGCCAGCTTGGGACGCCCGAGTGGTTCTCATCTAAAGAGTTTACCCTGAGAGCCTCGTCTGCTGGGACTCCTCGCGCTGAGAGCTCGGATGGATGCCTTTTACTATCGCTGTAATTTTTGAATCAGATACATTTCACGCAGTACAAGGCAACGTGACTGTGTGGTTTATGTCAGGGGAATACAGCCAGGTGTTTTATCACTACAGGCAGCGTTTTAATTCCAGCTGAGCTGACGACGAGCTTAGCGTGCCCTTTGAGGGCCAAACCCAGCGCTGCCATTTCATTCCTCCAGGTGCCGAGGAATTAAATGAGGGGGGGTATTTCACGTCTGGGTGCAGGAATTCCCAAAGGACTCCCACATCCCAGAGCGTGTCGGTCCAAGCGTGGACCCCAGAGGGCTTCTTTCCATTTCACCTTTTTTTTTTTAAATTGTTTTCTTCTCTTTTCCATCCTCCTCCCTGCCAGCCCCGTCCACAGAGCTGATCCCCACCGCAGCACCGGCTCCTCCAGAGGCAGATGAATCCAAAGGTTGCTCTGGGGCCTCCAGGGAGCATCTCCCACCCTGCTCCTCATGCTCTGCGGGTCCCAGCAGCCGCTCTCAGCCCTGCTCACGCCACCAGGAGCCGGAGCTGTGGCTGGTGGTGGCAGCGGTTCAGGACGTGTGGCACTGCCACACGCTGCCGTCCCCCGGCAGAGCAAACCCAGGGTGTTTTCTGACAGCTGAAACGGGGGGGGGAGGAAGGCGAGGGAAGACTTTCCAAGCTCTAATTACCCGTGCCCCAAGGAATCAAGAGGCCTCTCTGTCCGCGCCCTCCCGCTGCGGCTTTCACTTCCCTCGATGGCAGCCTTCCAGCATCCACCAGCCTGTCAGGCTTTCTCTTTGCTTGTCTCACTACCTGCTTTATTTCCCGCCTGGGAAAAGCGAAGAAGCAGCTCTGGGTTTTTAATTTCTCCTTTTTTAGTGCTGTTTCTTTTTCCCCGAGAGGTCCGCAGGAGTGGGAGGAGGCCTGGAAGATGATAGCTGGTGTGATCAGCCCGAGGATGCTCCTCGTTTTGGTTGCCGGATGACACGACCTGTTGCTTCTTGTCATCAGGCAGCGGGCCCAGCCTGTTGGTGGGTCCTGAAGGTTTCCAAAAAGGCACTGTCCTCCCCCGGTAATTGCAAAACAGCCTGGAAAAGGGAGCAGGATGCTTCTGATCAGCTGTGGGTCTGGCAGAGCACCAGCTGTATGTCACAACGTCTGTGCTGAGACCTGCCGTAGAGTCACAAGCCCGGCCGTGCTACACCACCAACTTTTCCTTGGGCTGGGGGTTTCTTTGCTTTGCTTAATAGCATAAAAGCTGCTGAAACGCGTGTGCTGAGCTCGTATCTGCTGTCTTCTGCTTCGAGCTGCTCCTGCCTGAATTATTCATGGTCAGCAAGCGATCTGCAAACAGCCCCTGTGATCTCGCTGTGTGCTCTGGGACTCGCCTTGCCGAGTCCGGGGCCATTCCTGGTTTCCTTCCTCGCTGCAGGGAGGCTGCGGGGATCTCGGGGCTGCTTGTGATTAACCACGCTGCGATTTATTATTTATGCAACGCGATGTGTTCGGCTGGCCGAGGCGCACGGCGTGGATAAGAGAGCAGGCTGCGCGCAAGCACGTGTAGCTCTTGCTTGACAAATCCGATCGTGTAAATAACATCGAGGAAGCTGCTCAGCCTGGCTGCAGGAGGGCAAATGCCCTTATAAGTCGAGGCAGAGCTGCCAGCTTGCCTGGTGTGGGCATGTAGGATAGGCGAGACTGCGTGCTGAGCCACTGCTCTCGTGTCCCCAGAGCTCGCCCCATGCAGGGGCTCGATGCTGCTGCACCACAGAGGAGCTGTGACAGTGGATCGCCAGCCCCTGGATGTGGTTCACCCGCCTGCCCGTATCTGTAGGGTTTTACTGGGCTGTTAGGTGTTTTATGTGTTTGCTTGTTTTCCAGCTCATGTTATCACAGCTCTTGTCTGTGCTTGTTTAACCTCTTGCGTGCTGCTGGCATGATTGCACTGGTGGGCGACGAGCAGGGTCTGTCCCCTCGCACACATATGACCTTCCTTCCCTTGTTGTTTTTTTTCTGTAAGACCCACGTGGCAGTGCAATTCATCACCATCACCTTAATATTTTTTAGTAGCATGCTCTGATTCTGTCATGCAACGAGCTTTGCAGAGCTGTTGAGAAGGGCAGTTTATGGGCAGGCAGTCATCAGGTGTCCTGTTTGCTTTGCAATCCGCACTGTTAGCAAAGGAGACTGAACATCTGCCTCTCCCAGCACACCCACCCCAGAGACGTCTGCCTCTCCAGCATCATTTACGTCGTCCCAGTAAAATAAGTACTAAGTAACCCAGTCTGCATTTTGGGATGAGGGCTGCGGTGCTTCAGGATCCTCGTCCCAAGTGGAGCTGGGAATGTTGTGTTGCTCAGCAGAGAGCATTTTTTGGCAGGTTTTTGCATTTGCCACCAATGTGGTGTGGCCCTCGGGTCTCTTTCCCCACCTGGAGGGGTGGCACATGCAGTCTGAGCTCTCCACTTTGGGTAAAGAAAGCTCAGTTTAGGGTATCCCCTTCCATACAGCAGCCCTGAGCAGGACCCGTGCCTTGCCCTCACCTACAGCACTGCAGAAACACGGTAGTAAGTTTGTTAAAATGTCCTGCCTCTCTGCGTTATAGAAAGAAGATTTTCTATTAAACCTTAGGGAAATTACCGTCCTTGTTAACTAGCGCAGAAGTAATGAACCACAGCAGGGTTACTCGAGAGATTTGGGCCATCGCTTTGTAAGACTGCATTGTTTCTTTAAATTAGAGAAATAATTTAAGCAAACAAACGAACAAAGAATTTCTGGAAATTAAAGCACAGTACAAATGGGATGATTTGCTCATCTTCTATTTAATAGGAGCAGTGCCTTGAACAATTGCACTGTCGACCTCAGAAATCTATCCATGGTAACTAGTCACAGGAGAGAAAAATAGACAGTCTGCCACCAACTTGGTATTAAAGTTATATTTTCCATTTTTCCATGGTTGTGGGCCAGTCGGGGACTTTCCATGAGCAGTCATCATGACAGAAATCCCCTTCTGCTTTGTCGCAGCCAGCGCCGCTGAACAATGAAAGGTCTGAGCCTGGTTTTGCGCTGGGTTTGGCTTTGGTGGGTTTGGTGCCCGTCCTGGTGGGATGTGGATGGGCTGAGACCTGGGGGGCAAGCCGTGGGGACCTTCTGCTGAACACACCTGGCTGGAGGGAATTTGGGGAAATGTAGGAGATGGTGTAAAGGACACCTATGGCCTTCAACCAGCTCTGTCTGCACAGACAGCCAAGTCCATGCCTGCTGTCAGGAGCCTCCACGGCCACTGGGTCACTCCTGGATTAGGTGTGGGGTCTGTCCAAGACCTGTGTAGCGATGTCGTGCTGTCTGTGCAGCTCTGAGCAAGTCCTGTGAGAGCCCGGAGGAAGGAGAGAACAACACGGCCAGGCTGGAGCTCGTCCAGAAATAAATAAACAGAAATACTGAGGGCTTGGTCGTCTGTTCCTCAAAAGACATTTTTGGAAGGGATCACTGTGCTTTTGTTCTTCCATTAGGCAAGTGAGGAGAGAGCATTGTTTTCGTCCCCTCATCCGTTCCCCTTATAGGGGAAGAAGAAGGAAGACTTGGCCACCCCCAGCCGAGCATCTCGGGGGACCTTGGGAAACAAAGGGCCGTACGGACAAGAGTGCTGTCATCCTGTCCCCGGCACGCTCTGCCCTCCGACAGCTGCTCGGAGAGGTGTTCCTCGGCTGGTTTCCCCTCTGGAGCCTGGCAAACGCCTCCAGGTTTATCGCTGCCGGTAGATTTGGCAAGGCAGCCGCGGAGTTTCGCTTCTGCCAGGGAGGTGTGTCTGCTCCGGGACGGCCGTGCCTGTGTCTGTGTGAGGGCTCGTGTCAAGCAGTGCTCCTGAAAAACACGGCTTTGATGTTCCTGGAGGTGGACCGAAGCTCTGTGGACACATCCATGCTAGTGTGGTTCCTCTCCTGCGTGCCACTGGCATCTATCCCTGCTCTGCAGAGGGCACCTGTGGGTTGGGGAGCACCTACCATGGTCTGTGTGATCCTTGTGTTGGCTCTCTGTGCAGGAATGGGTTGGGTTTTTTAATTACACTGCAGCATTTTTCTATTATTTTTTTCTAACAAAAGACTGTGCTAAGCCCAACCTTTCTTGTTTTGTCCAGGCTCCAAGGCTGATCCTGCTGACAGCCCCTGAGATACTGACCTCTATGGGAACTGAGACCACTTGACTGCACTCAGCACCTTTCAGGATCGGGTCCTAGGTAATTATTCTAATTCTCTGCATGGATTATGGGTGAAATTTGATGTCCTGTGAGTTATACAGACAACCTGCAATGATATTCCTAGCTGTCCCTTCCATTCATCTATTAACCTGCTCTGGTCAGGCCCTGTAACTTGCTGTACTCTGTGACAAATGAATGCCTCGCTTACCTCCACATTCAATTGATTTGGACCTCCTGACCTGAGCCCACCAGCATTTCATTTTTCCAGGGCTGCATGAAGGCGGTGGTGCCACACAAGAACTGACAGACTCATGTGGCAGGATTTATTCTGATCCTATTGGGATCATTTGCCCGCTGCAAACCTCAACTTAACATATCCTCCTGCAGGCTGATTTGCCCGGAGGCTGGCTGAAGCTGTTGCTGGAAGCCAGATGCAGACTCCAACCAGAACTTTCCTGGCTAAATTGATTTATTTTTTTTTCCCCTGAACACTGTCACTCTGTAGATCGGTGACTTGACACTACAATAATAACCAGTGTTCCAAAGAAATCACAACTGCATCACCTCCTCCCCAAAAACACAAAACAATCTCCTTTACTTCCAGAAAGGGAATTTCTCGATCACCATCCTGGCAGTGGTCACCAGCTGTTTTGCTTGGGAAGATTTTACTTGACTTGTAGAAAGCTGTAAAAGCAATTAAAAAAAAGTTTTCACTCCCATCAGAAGTAATCAAGGGCTGAAAATATCAATGTTTGTTGGAGAGGATGCATGTTCAGATCAGAGTTACAAGGCCTCAAAACCTACAGCTGCATGAGCCTGTGTTTTACAATAATTCTGGCACCTGCAGACAAAAACAAGCTGTGAAAATATTTCCCTGGGTACACAGGAACTGTAGGCTCTTCTCCGAGTCTGGCCTCACTGTTGTGCACGAAATGTCCGTGTGATTTTTAAATATTTGCTCCGAGGTAGGTAAATGGACACCAAAGAGCTGAGGACCAATCTATGCCCTGCCCTGTGTCCTGGTGGAGATTCAGTGGTGCCAGCCCGGAGCCTTGCAGGGGGGCACGGGCAGGGTTTGCTCCAAGGCTCCTTCTTCCAGCCCAGCGAGGTGAACTGAAGCTCAGGATGAGAGCTGGAAAAGCGCAGCTCTCGCGGATGAGTTTTCAGAGAACTGAGTAAGAGTGAAGCCAGCAGGATGCTATGGATGTTACTCTGAAACTCTGAGGATGAATGATTTCCTGTAGGGCTGGCTTCCTGAGCGAGCTTATATCCCTTATTAATTCTGCATGCTGATAAAAGTATCAGCCGGCAGAGGGTTATAATTTTTAACCCCATCTGTAGGATTCCTCCACAAAAAGGTGGTTAATAAGAGCTGGCTTCCCACTGACTCCAGCGGAGGTTAGCCCCCAGCTCTCAGGATCAGCTTTTATTTTGGGGGGAGGAGGCACAGTGCTGGCTGGAACAGAGCCCCATTCTCCCTCCGCACAGCTCTGTACCGTGACATTTTCGGGACCTGGGCCTGAGGACTTTCACTGGGCAGTTTCCTGTTTCGGCAATCTCCATTTCAAATGCTCTGTGTGCAGCATTGTGCGGAGAATAAAGAAAAAAATAGCCCGTATCCTTCTCTCTTGACAATCGTGGTGGACGGTAGGGAGCTGAGCTCGAGTTTCCAGTGGGGAGGGGGAAGACACACATTGAAGCAGGCTCAGGAAGTGAAAGAGAGGAGAAAGAAGAAGGAGAAAGGAGAAACGCGTTCGCCCTCAGGGCTGCGGTGCGGTGTTTTTTCCCATCCACCCTGAATTTGTGGGGACGGGGTGCTTTTTCAGTGCCTCAGCTCACATGCTCTGTGTTTAAACTGCTGCTGTCAAAGCTTTGAGAGTAACTAAAACAAAAATGTCACAGGTCAGATGGATGCTTTCCAATCGCCCGGTTTATTAGGAGTGCAATGTAAATCCTTGGGAAGGAAATAAACGGCCAAACATCCACCACCCCTGGTCTGCATCCCCCAGGGGGGCTGCGGGTTGCTGGTCCTGTGGGCATCCCCATGTGTGTCCAGCATCTCCTCCCTGCCAAACCTCTGTCCTGATGTGACTGCACCAGGTTCTGGATCAGGACTGGATCCAGGTCCCTGGTGAGGAGCATCAGGGTGAGGTTGCTTCAGGTGAGCACAGCTGGAGAGAAAACAGCTGCCTGGAGTCTGATCTCAGGCCACTTCAGCACATCCTCAGCTGAGGTCTGATGCTTGCTGCTGTAAAATCGGAGGATTTGGAGAGGCATGAAGGCAGCTGATGATCTGCAGCTGCCCAGCCCTGGCTTCTGAGGCAGTTGCAGGGGTGTTTTTGGCAGCACTGCAGAGCAGGGACCCAGCACTGCCCTCTGAATGCAGCGGCTGTGCGTCCCCTTCCCTGGCAGCTCCATGTGTGCCGAGCCAAACCAGCTCAGATTTACTTGTGAAAGGAAAAGTGTCACAAATATCAAAGTGCTTGCATTTTCTACAGCGTCCCCAGAGCCCCAGGGCCTGGCTGCCCACTGTTTCATACACCTCCGGGGTCTTTAATGAGGCAGTCACAGCAAGAGGAAAAAATCCATAACTAAATGCTAGGTGAGTCAAAATGGGATAGAAAACGTTGTTCCAGCTTCTCCAGTCCTCATTCACCTGCACACACAGGCACAAGGGTGCTGGCAGGGAGCATCGAGGCAGCTGTGTCCCCAGCACCACTGCTACATGGGCTCAGCACAGCCGGTTGTTCTTCAATTTGTTATAACCTGAAAATAAAGGCAGATAAAGGCGAAACGTTCTGGGAATGATGCCAAGCCAAAGGCACTAAATTATTGAGAGATCCGTATCTGGATAACGGATTTATGCTCTTTAACAACTTTTAAGAGAAAATAAGGTGTTTGCAGGATCAGATTGGGTTCATCCTGAAAAATAGACCTCTCTGTATAAAACTGTATTGCTGTTATTATTGTTATTGTTTTAATAACAATAATATTTCCTCGGTGAAGCCATATATGAGAATATTATTTGCGTAGGAACTGGAAATGAACATGAAATGATCAGCATATTTTTTAACAGCACTTTACAAGTCACTCGGCATTGGAAAAGATACAACTATCCGTCAAACCAAGGCTTGGGGATAAAATAATTAGAAATCACACAACCATAGCAAAGGAAGATTAGTGCTAAAATTAGAAGCCATAAAGTTGTTTTTAGATTACGCTGGAATCTAGGCAGGCTGCTTTATTGAGCAGCGTTCCTTAAGAAAACGCAAGGCGAGAGGTGTGAATTGTCTGCGTTTGGCTGTGTGGCAATGGGACTGCTAGTGCTAATACTCGGCGGGATGATCCATGGAGTAATTTTCAGGGAAATCCTTAGGGAAGGGAAGACAGCCGATACGTGGGCAGGAGCAACGACAGCCTGCTGAAGGCTGTCCTGGGAGGCTGGTGTGCTCCTACTTCTGTTTTGGTGCCCAAATGCCCACGTTACACCCATGTGGGATGGATGGGGTGGGTGCAAGGGGCCAGCACCCGCAGGTACAGTGGGTGCCACGGTGCTGGGAGCCGAGCTTGCTGCAGGGGGGCAGGCAGCAGTGTCAGTGAGTAGCCCAAAAACTGCACCGCTTCATGCATCTGCTGGAGCTCCCTGCGCACGAGTGCCGATGGTGTCCTCTATCTGTCCTGGAGGATGGATTGTATTTTGGAGGTGTGCAGCGCAGCGGGACCCACCTTTGCTCTCAGCTGTGCATCTGCACATAAAGCTGTGTGTCTCTCCGCTGCTGCTCTTCAGCTGCAGTGCACCATTAGCTTCCAAGGAGCTGCCTTTAATTAACACCCGTGCCAATTAGGCCTATTGCCCAGGTGTATGGGCAGGTGGGAAGGAGCTTGCCAAGGTCACCTGCTCTCCACAGCTCTCCTGGCTCAAGAGAGAGAAACTTTTTAATTTAGGGGGGGATATAAATCTCTTAAAATAAAAGGAGAGCTGCTGTGAGCTTGAATTTTAAGTGCATCTGTGCTGCGAAGCACGCCAGTGAAAGGCAAAGACCTTGGGGCTGTGAGGCAGAAAGCATCTCTGATCTCTCCAGAGTGCTGGTTCTCCCAGCGCAGGCATGCAGCATGTCCTCAATGGTATTTATGCTCTGGGGAGCAGTCTGGTTGTATTCTGGGCTGGTGATGCTGGGTGGGGAGGAGAGGCAGGGAGGGGTGCTGGGGATCACAGCTCAGCACAGCCGGGTTGGTTTGTGCAGCCAGATCATCAATACGTGATCATCACACCTTGATTTTGGCAGGACTGCTCCCTCGTGTAAAGTTGAGGGTGCGTTTTAAGGTGTTTTGATGCTGCAGGGTGGATGTACAGGACATGGAGCTCGGTGGGGGGCTGTTTCAGAGAGGACACTGTGCATTTTCTTAGCTGAATGGGGTCTTTTCAGAGGTCCTCTGGAGGAGAAGGACCAGAGAGGTCTGCAAGTGGGGCACGTGAACCCTATGTGGTGTAGAGGTGCAGGAGGAACCATTGTTTGTTGTGTCCTGCAAACACAAGAGCTAGAGAAAAAGCATGAAACGGTTGGGCAGAGGCTTTAAACAGCAGGAAGCACTTTTTCATAAAAGGTGTAATTAAAGCGTGGAACTTGTTGCCACAGGATGTTGCGGATGCCAAAAGTAAAAGTGGCTTCAAGAACCGATCGGGGAAACTTGAGGACTGAAGGTCTGTCGAGGGCTTTTAGTGCAGCACTGTAGATGCAGCCGCCGTCTCTCTCTCTCCTGGGCTTCCCCCTGAGTCCGAGTGTGAGACCCAGGAGGACAGCCAGAAGCTAGAAGGAGATGAATACTTGGGTGCTGGTGCCCTGACACCAAGGGCAGGGAATTCCTGGAAGAGAAACATGAACTCTGTAGGATGTGCTGTCTAAAAGCAGCTGGGGTGAAGCCCTTCAGCTGGTGCTGTAAAAAGGAACCAGATGAATGCATTTGTAGGTTCCCTTTTGGCCATGAACACCCCCTCTGACCACACTGCAGTCCATCTGTCCAGCATTTCTGTCTGTCTGCTCCCCCCGGGACACCCCCATGGCAGCTCTGCCTTTGGGAACGCAGGACAACTCCCAGTCGTCTCTTTGTAGCCCGAGAACAGAGCCTCAGGAAAGTCCGTCAGCAGGACTTTACTAATTCCAACTAATGACTCCGGAATACTGAATTATGGGAACAACTGGGTACCATCAAAAGAGGCAGACAAAAGGCGTGCGGTAAAACACGCTGCATTGTAATATCAAACAGAGCTGAATTTGGGCTGATAGAGCACCTTGCGTATTCAGTGCGTTTCAAAGCACTTTGCAAAGTAATGAGCTGAATGCTGGCAGTGGAGCCGGTGGAGCAGTCATTATGTGCCTGACAATAGCTCTCGCAGCCCAGCGAGAGGAGATGTTGGCCAGGATGCTGGGGTTATCCCGCGCTTTCCTTTTTTTTTTTTTTTTTTTTTTCTGTGCTGTTAGATCTCTAGCGAGTGTTTGGACAGGAGGCGGTTGGACAAGGGCTGGCTGCAATTCCTGCCTCGTCCCGATGTTTCTGGCTGCCCAGCGTCTGTCTGGCAGCCTTCCCAGCAGCAGGAGCACACAGGGCTGGGCATCCAAAATCTGTGACCCACCAGGGGTCAGAAGTGGTCTCTGGGAAAACACGGGGGAAATGGGAGTTGGTTGGGGTGGGGTAGAGGAGCTTAAGGATGGGCTGTGGGGTGGGGAGCTGCGTTATTCTTTCCCTCTTTAAACTTTGGAGAAATCCTTGGGTTTAGCTACGGATCTGCTCCTCCGCATCTCTTAGAGGGTCAGGCAGCTTAGCCTAAAGGAGTGGGAAGGCCACTCCGTGCTGCAAAGGGCCTTCCCTTGGAGATGTGCTCTCCGGCCAGCTCGGTTTCCCTGCCCTTCTTTTATCTCTGTGGAAACGGAGGTGGAGAACATCTTGTGACTCGCCCGAGAATCCCTCCGTGCAGCTGGGCACAGACCTTGGCCTTGCAGGTCGTGGTCCGCTCCTCTAATCTTGCGGTCTCCGGGACAGCCTCTTGAAGGCCCACACATGAGTTCAGCTCTGTATTTTCAGCTAAGCCAGAATAGCATTGCCACAGCTGCACGAGCACAACTCTTCATCCCCAAACCATTTCGGTGGCCAGGAAAATGCATCTTGCCCCTGGGCAAGGAGAGGAAGAGGTTAATTGTATATATATTATTTTTTCTCTCTCTTTTTTTTTTTCTTTTCTTTTTTGGAAAAGAGGAAATAAATGTACCCACCCCGCCCTAGCGGGACCGCACAAATCTGTCAGCCCCGGCGGGTGGGGGCCGGTGGCTGGGCTGGGTGAAGGAAGCAGCCAGGGGAGGGCAGGGGCTGGGGGCATGGGTGGGGGCTTGGATGGCTGCCCACGAGCCTGCTGCCGCTGTGCTGGGCTATATTTGGAGCCCGGGCTGTAACGTTGGCTCCAGAGCTGTGGGCACTCGTGATGAGTTATCCCTCCAAGGGGCTGGCATGAAAACCCTGCAGCAGAGCATGGGTTAGGGCCAGAGAACGAGGTCCATGGTGAGGATGGAGATTTCCAAACTGGCCCTTCATGACTGGGGTCCCTCAGGACGCCAGCTCCCAGCTGAGCAAGACAGCCAAATGCCAGCAGCCCCTGGCTTTGCTGGAGGACGGTGTTGGGCTGGCTGCATCACCCACATCCCCACGGAGAAGGGGAAGCAGGCTGAGAGGCCTTGGAAAGGCCTCGGTGGGCTCCCCTCGCTCCAAGGCCTCCATGGGCTCCCCTTGGTTTCTGGGTTGGGCTGACACCATCACAGGGCTTCCTCTCAGAGCCTGGGCCCTGCCTGCTGTCACCCCGCAGAGGGGACTTGATGTGTGCCAAGGCTCTGCTTTTTGAGCAGAGGGGCCTAAGGCTGCTGGTTGGGGTGGTGGCAGCAGGCGTGGGTCCTGCAGGGACTTGTGTGGGTGTCTCAGTGAGTGCTCAGAGCAAAAGACCCGCTGTTATAAGCTCCTCTGGGAGCTGGTTACAACGAAACCAAGCTCTGGTGTAGGAGAGCCGCAAGGTCGACACGAAGCAGCAGGGCTGTGTGCTTGGAGGAGGGCCGGGCTGAAGGGGAAGGTGATGTTGGTCATTTGAGATGGGTTTACATCCCCACATCCAACCCAGGGAGTGCTCTAGGAAGGCAAGACACGGGTGTGCAACCCCAAACCAGCCCAGCTTGCTCTAGGAAAGCATCCATAGAGCCTGGCTGATGTTTTCCAGCTGAGGGGCTGACCTGCTGTGCTCCCCGTGGCTGCTGGCTGGGGAAGATGGGGTGCTGGTGGCTGGGTGCCCCTGCCAGCACGGCTTTGGGGCTCTCATGATAGCCCTTGTCTGGATTTAGCAGCATGTCCTGGACTTGCAATGTGTCTGAGCTTTTAGTATCACGTCATTCCCTCTCCCCACATCCCCCGTCCCAGATGTATTTGCTTAAATGGCTTTAATTAACTTACTTTTTCCTGTGCGTGACAGCTCCTTAAGGTTTTGGTAGCTGTTTTCTGTCCTTCCACAGTTGTCACTGACATGTAGCACTCTCCCTGCAGACTGGCCTTCAATCCTGCCATGTTTTTCCCTGCTCTGCAGAATTATTTTAGCGTACTGTGGGGAAATGGTTTCCATGTGAGCCCTGTTACACACACTCAATTGATTATTAGGTGTGATTTTCCTGATCCCTGCCTGTATCTGTGAGGACTCTGAGCGAGCGAGCCAGAGGGGCGTAGAGTGATGGTTCAGGTCAGATAGATTTATCTTCTCAAGTGACAAGACAGATAACTCCGGAGTGGCGTGGCTACAGGTGTTATCATTTGGGTGTCTCCTCAAGAGTGAAGGTTAATGTCTTGCCACTACTGATCCATCACTGCGTTATCTGCAGGATTTATATGTCTTCTTGTGCCTCTCCAGCAGCAGTGGTTTCACATTTCCGGAGCTAAGATCTATGTACCCACTCCCTGGCACAGCAACTGCAGTGGCCACTGTCAGTGAGCTCCTGCTCTCCGTCTTTCCATGGCTGTGTTATGTTAGGAATATTCCCTGCTTGCTGCTCTGCAGCTTTGCATTTCCCTGTTGGAGGAAGGTGGGATGGGTGGGGGCTTCAGAGAGTGTCATCTGAAGTGCAGATGCATTGGGCAGATGAAGGCAAGATGAGCCCTCACCCTGTCTTTCAGAAAATCCACCTCAGAAAAGTGAGCAGGAGAGTGGCAGGGAGCAAGGAGGGACTCCAATCTTCAAGTGAAATCTCTTTAAAAAAAAAAAAAAAGGCAATAAATCCAACAAATTAAAATAAAAAGGCAAGTAACATGAGTGACAATTGTACAGTATCAGATAACACCGCATCCTGAATTCTGGTGGGATAGGAAATATGAAGCAAAAATCACTCAGGTGCTTCTAGATAGCGATAAGGAAAGCAATTCCCATTTACCGGTAGAAATAAAATAAGAGGTCCTGATAAACCCTCCATGACTAGACTGGATTAGGGCTCTAGCTGTGAAAATTCATTATGGGCATGCAAAAGAATGCATATCTTGCAGAGCTAAACTGACTGCAAACAACATTTATCTGGAGAAGAGCCGATTCACTCAGAATAAATAGATTTCTTTCAAAGGGGAAGGGGAGGGGGGGATCTGTGGGAAAACCGTACCTCTGCCTTGTCATTTATTATGCAAAGAAGTCTCACACCTTTGTAAATCATGAAGGATGGGTTTGTGCTGAAAGGGCGACCCTAAGCTGTTCCAGCTGCTCCGGAGCCAGGCTGGGGTCTTTTGTGCGTGGTATCAGGAGCTGATGATTTCAGGAGGGGTTCTGGTAGGACAAGTGCCAGTCCTCATCAGCAAGGGTAATGCAGTTTGGTCTGACATTTTCCGAGTCCATTACTTTATATTATTTCTTATTATTCATTGTATTTTATTTTATTTGCCCTTTCTCTGTGGGAGCGACTTTGTACTTGGGTCTTGAGCAGAAGGGAGCCTGTGGCTTATTCTGCTCTGTCCTTGTATCTTCGGTTCTGGTCCCTTTGGTACCAGCTCTGGTTAAGGCCACCAGCATCTCTCTGTTGGCTGGGGCTCAGTGAAACAGGGCGCACTTGAATTTTAGCTTGTGGTTGACTGAGATGGTTGTAGGTGGCTGCAGAAGCGCTTACCAGGGTGTGCAGGGACCAAAATGTGATTTAACATCTTTTGTTCTAGCAATTAAGTAGCTCAGGTGCTACTTTTGGAAATAGGGTTGAGCTGAGGAGGCTCTGAGGTCTCCTCTCCAATGCACCGGGAGCATCGGGGGATGCTCGGAGAGCAGAGCAGTGCAGAGGGGACGCCGTGTGTGTTCATAAGCAGGTTGTAGGACACAGAAAACCAGCTGCCCCATGCTACAGGACAGCACATTCACAGGACTTGCCTAAGTGCTTGATCCCAGACTTCCCACACACCTTCTCCACCGCAGCCAGTCGAGATCTTTGCCCTGATCCTGGCTCTGCCGATCATCACTGCCTTGCCTTAGGAGTCCTCTGTAGCAAATGATGACCTTAGTGCAGGGAAGCAGGAGCGACCGACCACCCAGCACCTGCTGCCACTGAGGGGGAAGGAAAAGCACGCTCACGTTGGTCATTGTATGCATCTCCCACTTCTCAGGGGCATTTTGCATTTGTGTTTCACCCTCTGCATTTCAGCAGCGCTGGGCTGGCTGGGCTCTTGTAGCGCTCCAGAGTGATTCTGCTAATGGGATCTGACCTGATGGCTTTGCATGTTTTAAGTAAATTAAACACAGCTGCTAGGAAAATACAGCAACCTTAACAGCACCATGGCTCCGTTGTCTGCATTGTAATTACAGCAGCAACTGCCTGGAAGTTCTACTTTCTGGTTTATTTTTAAATAACTTCTGAGCTACCCTTTGATCAACTGCTCCATCCCCGAGACCTTCCTGTCCTCTTCCTTGTTCTGGGTTTAACCCTTGCTCCTCAAGCTCCTTCTTCAAGCAGCCGTCTGTCACATGCACGAGAGGCTGATTGCAAAAACAACATATCGGAGATTTTCATAGCTCCTTTCTGAATACGTACTGCAGTTTTGAGCTGGAGGTGAATCCGGGGAGGATTTTAAGCCAGAGCTCATGGGATGTATGTATAATGCAGACATCCAGGCAGCAGTGTTTTGAGGCTGCTGGGGAAGTGCACCTTGAAATACGCAGCTTTTCTTATGGCTTCAGCTGAAAACCTTTGTACCCCTTCACAGAGATGGACTTTCTGTCACCAAAAAGAAAAAAACTACAAAAAAAAAAAGCACATCAATGATTTAAACAGAAGCAAAAGGAGTCAGTTTTATGCAGGAAGCAAAACTAGGAGCCTAATTAATTTTCCCTCATCAACCCATGAGTGGGACCCATGCCTGCAAGAGCAGACGATCAACTCTCAGCACTGGCATAGCTGCACGCTCCCTCCTTTCATTAACAGCCCACACCATCTTCACTACAGGGTCTGCAGGGCTCAGATTTATGGAGCAAGCCCAGCCTCAGCCAAATGACTTAGGGTTTGCCACTGGAGCCTGCAAATGGGCTCAAAGAGCTGAATTTTAAACGTGTCCCAGTGCAGGGAGGGAGGCTGGCTCAGCATCCTCGGGGCACCAGAGCACGAGGTCCCCAGCTGCATTTAAGGGCACATCATATTTGGTTCTGGCTACCCATCATCATGCCAGAAATGCGAGCTGGTACGTGGGGTGAGCTGCCTCTGAGGCTACTTCCAACACGACTGGCTTGCTTTCACAAGTTGTCGGGTGGCCGGCTGGAGAGCGAAGCGGGTGCCCAGGCACTCGATCTGAGCAAAAGCACTGAGCGAGTGTGATTGGGGCTGTAAAGTTTACGAGATTCTGTGTTTTATGGTGAATTTTAAATTGACTTTGCAATCAGGGTACATTAGAGTTTTTAAAGGAAAGTCAGCGTGATGTGTTGCAGAACACAAGGTGGTAATTTCCCCTGTTATATTGATGCTATCAACAATAAAGAATGAAGCAGCTGCTTCTCAGAGGATTGGATTTTTAATGCATTCGATTTATGTAATTTATAGAGTATTATTTATTGCATGGGGTTTTTCCCCCTTCTGCTTCTCCAAATGGCTTTCCCTCTCCCTCCATTATCAGGGCAATGCAGCGTGATCTTATCTAGCACTTTCACCTGCAGATTTCAAAGCTCTTTCCAACCACGCCCGACGTCATTACTTCCATTTTTTTACCCAGGAGGGGAAAATGGAGAGCTAGAGATGGGGAAGGGTGTGAGCTTCTAGTGAGGTGGAATCCACCAGTCCTCATTTAGATACCTGGGCTGTAGTCACCTCTTCACTGTCTGCCTTTTCCATCGACAGACAGAACAAAGCATGGTTTCGGTGGCGTGGTTTCTGTTTTCCTGAGGGAGATGTCCAGCAGAGACCAGCTGGCTCTTGCTGTGGCTTCTTTCCTCTGCCAATGAAGGGTGTCTAGCTAACTAGCCCGCCTGGGGACATTTCTCTGCAGGTACACGAGGGCTGCATGCGAGAGCTATCATTTAATCACCGTCGGGACACCTCCAGCGCTCAGGCTGGGATGGGAAGGCAGCACATGATGGTTTTCTCCTCGTCTTCACTGGGGCCAGGGTGTGCCCTCCTTTCTGTCTGACAGCATGGCAATGTTTGCCTGCAGCTCCCTGCCTTGCTTGCAGTTATTAAGCTTGCTAGAAAGAGGTTCTGGCCCCTTTCTGAAGCACTAATGCAGGCAGCTCCTCAGAGCATCTGGTAATGTCAAAGGCTCTTGAGAGTAAGAGGGAAATGGGCAGAGTCCTCTGGGAGGGGAGCGTGGGGTCAGCCAGGCATGAGGGGAGATCCGAGATGAATTCTTCCCCAGACGTGAGGTTGTTTGTTAAAGCTGAATCATAGGGCAGTGGCTCTATGATGTTTGATTTGCAGGTATGTCAAGATTAAAAAAAAAAAAAAAATGATTGCAGTGGTTCTGGGCATTTTAGAGTAATATTTGATGCAAATTTACTGAGGATACTGTAATGCAGCCTTCAGCACTGTCTGCTTTCCAGATTAACAGAGGGCTTGCAAACAGCACTTTGGAAGCAACCTCCAAGGTCATTTGAAAATGAGAGAGAAAGTCCCATTTGGTGAACGACTGTTGACATTCAGCATCAGTTGTTCTTCTCCTCCCTTTGTCAAATTTATTCTCTTCAGTGGTACTACAGGAGAGACCCACAGACACTGTAACTGTGCCACTCAGGAGAGTGGCTGGGGGGCATTTCCTTCTGGTGCAAAAGGTTTTTTATTTTTATATCGGGTTGTCCCCCATGCAATGTGCACCCCAGGCAAAACATCTTCACAGCAGGTCTGTGTTGCTGACTGTCATTGCATGCTGCTTCAGGTGGGATAAATTCGGGTTGCTGGGTGGTCGAGGCTAAAGCAAGCATGCACATTTTTGGGGGATGCTCCGTTTGGAGAAGGTCAGTGCTTATTCTGTTGGGAGCTAGGGCTGTCCCCAGTGCAGACACCTTGGAGAAGGCAGAGGCTGCCCTGCAGAAGCACGTGGTGTGAGGAACAGGCTCAGAAGTGAGCTGATGTGGCACGTTGGTGATGCACTCGGGGATGGCAATTAGAAACGTTATGTCATCTCCAGGAGGGTGTGTGCGATTCATCTAGAAACCACCCCGAGAAGCCAAAAGGGACTCTGTGGCTGAGAGGGAAGCCACAGGCAAGCCTGTTCGCTGCACGGCTTTTCATCTCTTGTGCATTTTGGCAAGGGGAGAAGGAAGCCTGAGCTGCTCCCAGCAGTGCCCCGTCCCATTTGGTAAAAGCTACCAGGGCACCACGGCGTCACCCCTGCGTGCTGGCCCAGAGGGTGCGTCACGAGCACGGTCGGTCACAGGCTCTGTTCTTGAGACACCTCTTCGAGGCAGCTGGTTAATGAAACTACAGCTCAGGTGCAGCTTTGTTTACACCAGAAACTCCCGTTTATAGCCTCATCCCACAAGGATTCCCCCGAGCCTCCAGCAGTGAATTCAGACGCCGCGCTGCGAGCTGTTGTGTCCCTGAGTTCCCCTTGCCACGGGGAGAAGCAAACTGCAACGCCGGCCTCTGCCTTTTGGGAGAGGAGACGGCTTTAAGTAGAAGTTAGAGCTGAAGCATTACCCAAGGGAGACGTGGTGCCAGGCCCTGCCCTGGTGCCAGGAGGAGGTTGTGCATCGACCTTCGCAGAGCCAGGCTGTCCCTGGTGGCCTCAGGCACGGAGCCAGGGCACTGCAGGTATTTGCAGCCTTCCTAGGGAATTTTGCCCAAAATAAATACAGCGGCACTCACCCGCGTAGGCATGGTGACAGTGACCTGCGCTATGCTCCTTGCCCCCTCGCTGATCACTTTTGGCTGTTTAGCAGCAAACGAGCCATTAGTCCTCAGCGGTGGTGGTTACTCATCAGCTAATGATCTGAACCGGGGCCGGGGCGAAGGAAGGAGTTCACGGTTAAGTGCACAAGGTCGAAGCGGCTGGATGCTCTCGAAAGCAGGTGGACTCATTAGGCACAGAGAAGACCTGTTCTTGGGGCCGATCGTAGCCTTGGAGCCCGGCCAGTCTGCGCCGCCGCGGTCACCGGGCTGCTCTGCGCCGTGCTGTGAAGTCACCTGTGCTCCGTGTGCTGTTTACTGCCCAAATATCCCTGTATTTATGGCCTGAGCTGCACGGAAAGGAGGAATACCAGCCATCGCAAAGATCACTGCTGGCAGTTTTTCTCTGCTCCTCCTGGGTGTGCACCCTGCAGTTCTGTTCCCAGTTATTGAATCGGTGTGAGTGGTCAGAGCCCCGTGGTTCCTCGGTCCTGGCACACTCATACAGGTGTTGGAAAACGTTGTTAGCACTTTCCCCTGGGAGAGAATCCCATAAAAGCTGGCACAAGGTCAGGGTGGACACAGCCTTAGCCTAAAAGGAGGGTTCCCACTTGCATGCCCGTGTCACGGGTGGTGAGGACCCTGCCCCAGTAAACCCATACTGGTGCCCACGGGAGGAGACAAACTGCTCGAGTGGTTGAGTCGGTCGGGAGCTGCTCGGGGACCTCGGGAAGAGGAGCCCAGCTGACCTGTGATAACAAGTGTCTCCTCGCATTTCCGTCAATCTTCTCATGGAAAATTTACCAAGTGGGAACGCGCGGCGTTTGCTTTGCCCTTGTCAAACACGGCCAGTGCAGAGATTGCACAAAATAAAGGGCCGTTTTCTCACTTTGAGTGACTCCCGGATGACTACACGCCTGTAAAGCCTGAAATCCCGTTGTCCTTGCAGCTCTCAGTAGCTGGTGAGAAGCCCTCAGCCCCAGCAGACACTCAGGAGGCCGTGGTGTCCCTCTCTGTCCTTACCCAGGAGCAGATCTGTGCCACCACCCCTGCCTGTCCTAAGGGGGTTTCAGGCCATGCTCACATGTCAGCTGCCTGTTGCTGGAGTCTCACACCTCCAGGTTGTGCTAAAACAGAGTCAGGACCCCAAAAGCACCCCGAGCTGCTCTCCTTCATCAGCCTGCCCACCCCCAGCTGACCACTTTGTCCCCCGTGAGCCACCCACAGCCGGTGAGCAGCCGTCAGGGTGCCTCGTTATCTAATCTGCTGCGTGTTGGCCACAGCCACGCTCACCTAACACCCTGCCCAGAGGTGTCAGCTCCATCCTCAGAAACGCAGGCTGCTGTCCCCATCGCTTGCAAGTGCAAACTGATGGCAGCAAACTGCTTTGATGCTGGGGTTTGGGCTTCTCCTAGTGATGTTTTCCCCATCTAAGAGGGACGGGGGCCTCGTACTGACGGCCGAGGCAGCAGGCACGGAGAGCTGATCACCCCAAAGGGATGAAACCGTGACGCTGAGCTGCCGGTGGGAGCTGGGATGGGTGAGGCAGGCAGTGCTGCTTGGATGGGATCCGTTTCCAGCCTCTCCATCTCCCAGCTGTCACGGGAGATGTGTTACAGTGGGTGGGTTGGGTTTGCACCTCCGGCACCGAGCACGAGGGAAGGGCGAAGAGCAGAGAGGCAGCCGAGCGGCCACGGGGAGCCGGCAGGAGGAGAGCAGGAGCACGCCTTCTGCTGTCTCCAGGGCTGGCCCTTCTTCACCAGAAGCCCAAGCCTGGATCTGATGAAGGTTTTTGTGTTTTTCTTTCTGTCGTTTCTTAGGAGATGGTCACAGGCGCTCAGGGAGCACCGCCAGAGATTTGACACGAAAGCGAGGGTACCGGTGAGTACGCAGGCGGGCGAGCTGGGCTGGTGGCTCTGCAGGGGGAGATGATTTCTCTGAAGAAGCAGGACACGGAGATCAAGATGAGGAGCACGAGGTGGTGGTCCTGATCCCGTCTGACATCTCAGGTCCTCCGATCCTGCCCTTCCCTTAACGGGGACACCAGCGGGAGACGAGGCCCGCGCTGTTTGTGGTGTCGATGGATCAGCACAAATCAGATTTAGCAAGAACACGTTTCTGTTCCATTATAAGTGACAGCAGCGCTAATTGCTGCTTTGTAAAACCGGGCGAGATGCGCTCATAAATATGTGTGTGCGTCCTCCGTGCTGCGGCGCGGGGAGAGGCAGGCAGCAGGTTCGTTCGCAGCTGCACACAAGTGCGATGAGCAACAATATTTGTTAATGCTCTGAGTGCTTTTGGCTTTTGTCGTGCTTGGCCCCGGCGCAGACCCAGTCACGGGGCTGGGATCTGGGTGACATTTCAAGGTCCTCTCCAGACCTATTTTCTGCAGCTGTCGCACAGGAGGTTGTGGCTTGGGCACTCGCCCCGTGGTCTCAAATAGGAAGAAAGGAGTGTGTTGATTTTTTTTATCATCTGAGCTGGTTCAGACATGTCAGAGCCAGGTCCTGGGCTGGTGTTGCTGAACCAAGTTATCTTGCATTGCAGCAGCTTCACATCAGCCTCCACTGAGTGACCTCCTGGTTCGTGCTGGCCGAGCCCTTGGTGGAGCTGAGCTGTGAATCCCTGGAGCAAATCCTTGCGTCCTCCACTGGGCTCAGTGCTGCCCACATGTGAGAGATGCTTGGTGCTGGGTCGTCCTTTGTGTCTGTGCTGTGCCCGGGGCGATGAGGATGTGCAGGAACCTTGGTAGCGGTGCATGGGTCCCAGGAAAATGCTGACTTTTAGCTCCTTATGGTATAAATGTGAGCTTAGAGGAGAAGGTGGCATAGACAGAGATATCCCTGGGGTGCGGCTAATCCTGATTTACACCAGCTGGGGTTGGGGCCCGCTAGCTGCAAGAAGCAGAGCTCTTACAATCCTGGAGTGATTCAGCTTATTAAACATCCGTTTGCACTGTGCTTAGCATTAAATAATTGGCTCCTCAGCATATTTGACTTGGATGGTGTCTGGTAATTCTGCGAGCTATCCATCAGGCTCCACTCTCATCTCTGCGCTCCTGCGCAGGCTTCCTTGTGTTGGGAAACTCTGCCTGGGGTTTACAAATAGATTTTGTTTCTCCTGCAGTTCTGTTCTCTGTTCTTTCTCTCTCTCCCTCAGAGGAGCAGTTTCGGTCTCCCTACAATTTGTGCAGATGCTCCAGTTGGCTGCGACAGCATCTTTCTGCTGACTCGGGAGCGATCGGTCCCATCCCCGCCCTGGCTCTGCTTCTGGCAGAGCCCCCGTGAGAAGCAGAACCTCTCATTTCCCAGAAAGAAACAGAATCATTATCTCGGCTGAAATAATTTCCTTTTCCAACCTGCGCGCTGATAAACCATCAAATTGTTGGAGTTTCCTTATCGGCTCGTGGAATTTGTAGGAGACAAAATAATGACCTGTCAGCTCGCCTCCAGCAGGCCAGCTCGGTAGCGCTGCGCCAGTCACACGCAGGACAAAACCCTGGGCTGTCTTGATGGTATTTTAATAGGGATACTTAAGAGGGCTCCTGAAAAGCCTCCTAAGCAGATGGGTAATGTGAGAGCTGAGACTTTCTCACAACCCCTTGTTATTTTTGGTACCTTTAGGCTACTGCAGTATTCGCAGTTGAGGCTGTGGGCTTCTGCAGACGTCGAAGCAGCTGTGTCTCTTGCAGGTTTAAGAGCTGCTAACTGGAGAGCCATCAGCTGGATGGACTTTCTGCAGGATGCTTTTTTTTTTTTTTAATTTTCCAATTTGCTGCAGGACCGACCCCTCTGTTACAAACATCTCCCTGAATGCTCCTTTTCTGAGTCATTCCAGAGACTTCTTTTGCTCCTAGGGTATAAGGCCTGCGAGGAGAATTCAAGCATACAGGAGTGCACAAGGCTTCAGCCCATTTAGGAGCTCTTCTGTCCTTACATTGAATTTCACCCCTGGATTTCAATATTGCCCTTTAAACAATCTTTTCTAGCTCAACCTGTCAAGATTGCTTTTACATCGATAAAAACAGATTAATATCCTATAACAGCAGCCTGGTACTTAGGTAGAAACAGGTCAGTGCAATTGTCTAAAGCACAACAACCATTTCATTTTGTTGTGGAAAGTATTGGCTTTCGCATGGATTAATTTCAGCTAGCATCCCTGTCCTGGGTCCTGTACGCTATCAGACAGAGGCAGTCACTAACCCAGCGAGCTTTCAGTGTAAACAGGAAAAAGAAGAGTGGTTGTAGAACGAGAGCTATTGCTTCTGTTTCACACGTGGAGGAGACCGATGCAGGAAGGTGCAAGGTGACCCACCAAAGGCCACGTACCAGGGAGATGCTTATCTGAGATATCTGCGGCGCCTTCAGCGCTGCAAATTTTACTTCTGCTCCCAGAAAGCCAGGGGATGTGCCAGCACTCCCTTGAAACTATAAGGCAAAAGCTTGCTGATTTCTGCGACTGTGCCCTAATGTCATTACTTTCCCTCTTTTGCAGATGCACATAATGACATTCATGGTCACACACACAAAATACTTTCATAAGGAAAACGAATCTGGCTGCGACTGGTTCTTGCCTCCTGCTGCGGTTACCTCCAGACCCCGGCTCGCCCAGGGTGAAATGAAAAGGGGAGCTAATGTAGCAGGGTCGTTTCTCACTGCTGAATTGGTCAGCCATCTATGGAGCCAATTTCTGCAGCTTTCAGTGCCATGGCAGACCCCTGGGTAATATTTGCCTGAATAGAGTCATAAGTGTTTAAGCTGCATTGCTAGGAATGGCTGTTTTATCCTATGCATCTGAGATTTCAGCCCATCAGACATGAAGCAGGTCAAGACTCTTATGCCATTGTGTGCATTATAGTGAACAGAACAGAATATGCTTGATAAAAGAGAGGACTTAAAAGAAATGCTTCTTTAGACCTGAAACTTTCAAGTCACACAATGCATCAAAGACCCCTCGTACAGACTTTGAAAGGGGCGAAAGGCATTACCTAATATTTGGAGGAAATGAATAATAAAGCATCCCAAGTGCCTGGAAACTAATTTAGGAGTGCATATTGCACTGTATTGCCTCTGCTGGATTCGCTCCCCAGAAGAGTTGCTAACAAAAGGTTTAAAAAAAAATTGCATCGGGAGACCAACTTTTCTGCCTTGAAATGCCCCCTTTTTGTACCGCTTCCTGGTAAGAGTTACTTATGAAAAGATGAAATGCAGACCGTGCTGCAAACACCAGGTCTCAAACGAAGCTCGGGAGCCCGGAAGGTTTCCCTCCGCTCCCCAACGTGCCGCAGCCTTTTGTTCCCCGGCGCTGAAAGCGATGCTTGCGACGCGCTGCAGCAGTGTGCTGGCAGGGTGCTGAGGCGTGCGTCCGCACGAGGGGCCGAGGCACTACCTGCCTGTGCAGTTCAGTGATGTCTTAGGGGAAAAAAAAAAAAAAAAAAACAACACTGTCTGTGTGGCTTTTGCTTTTGTTCCAGCAAAAATGCCATTGTCCGCTGAGCAGAATCTGGATTGATCTGATGAGAACTGCAGGATTTGGGAGCCTGGCATGGTGCTGAAGGCACTGATGGCATTTCTGCTGTGCTGTGGGTGCAGGAGGTGCTGTTCTGAGCCTGAAACGCTTCTTGCAGTCGCTTGGTGTCTCACAAAAAGCATCATGCCCAGAAATGCAGTGGTTCCTCATGCAGGGAGGAACCAGGAAGGCTCTTGTGGGACCTGGGAGCTGCAGGGTTTGGGTAAAGCCAAATTTTGTCTTGTATCAAGAGATGTAGGGCAATGGGTAAGGGTGGCAGGGGGGAAATCCGTCCTGTTGAGACCAGTGGGATTGGGCTGACCTGGGATGTCTCTGGGACATCTCAGTGGCAGTGCGGGACAGGGGGCTCGATGGGGTGCAGCTTTTGCTCCTCGACATCACTGCTCCTCCACAGCAACGTTTTCCCTGAAGAACCGGGGAAATTGACTGTGAAAGGTGTCAAGGAAAGAGAAGCCGAGATCTGGGCAGGGCTGGAGAGATAATTATCTCACCATCAGCAAAACTGCCTGCAACCCACAGCCGTGGCCGGAGCAGGGAGGGCTGGCGTCCCCGCCGTGCCTGCGCCAGCCCCCACTGCCCTCGCTTGTCACATCACACTTTATTTTTACCATCTGTGGAGACGTAGTTAAATTTTAGTACTCTCTTATCTGCTTCTCCCCCAGGCCACAATTAATTGAGGCCAGGAGGCAGGCAGAAGCGCTCAGGCAATATTTACAAGAAGAAGGGATGTTAATGGGGCGGACGGACGGACGGGGGATGGTGCAGGTGGGCAGCGACATCTCGGGGGGGATTAAAGCCTCGGGGAGTTCAGCTTCAAGTGACAAAGTGTCCGAGTGAATGAGACCCGGCCTCTCCCCCGCCTCCATCCCATTAAACTCCTGGTGCTGGGGTGGGAGGGCAGCAGGGATTTGGGCTGGGGGGTGTCTCGGGGTTAGGAGCTCATCAAATGCTGCAGGGCTGGGGGAGGGAGAGCGTTTAAGAAAATGGTGTTTGCCCTCTCCAGAGCCCAGCCCAGCAGTCCCGTAACACTGGGTCTGATTATTTAGCGTGCCTCCACTGCATCCTTAATGAGCAGAGGATGCTCAGCCGCTGGCTCTGAGCGCTGATGCTCTGAGGCACAAAGCCCAGCCGGGAGATGAGGCTGGAGGAGAGGTGCACGGAGGATGACACACCGGCTTCCAGCCTTTCCACTGCGATCTCCCAACACCACAGCACCAACAGCTCCTCTGCTGCCTGCAGGTGAGCCGTGCCGGGAACACCCAGCCCCTCTCGGGCACCGTTTGGGAGCAGCAGCCAGAACCAAGGGTCCTGTCCCCTGGATTTGGCAGCACTGCAAGGGGAGGTTCGTGCCC